GCCCTCAATCGCCACTTTTGAGGGACGAGTTCTCAGAGTTTCAGTCAAACAGAATCGTCAAAAAGTCGGGAATCGAGAGGAACCCCAAAAATAGGCCTTTCGTTGACTACAGAACTCAATAAACAAATTGAATGTCATTTCCATTAGACATTATAATTCACTTTTCATTTCAATGTATTTAATATAATGTTTTAGAAAATCAGAAAATTGTTTTAAACAAATAAAACTTTATAAGTTTGAATAAAAGAATGATTTATAACTACAATACTGTGAATTAAAAATTGTTTTATTATTCTTATAAACTCTAACATTCATTAATATATTCCGTGAAAATTATACACAATATTTATTTACGGAAATCATCATTCATTTAAATACACTTTAAAAGCTAAAATCACATAACAAATCAACACATTTTAAAACTCTTAAATACAAATAATTGAAATACAATTTAAAAATAATATTAAAACAATCAAAAATAGTTTGATATACACATTGAAAATATGTAAAAATAATAATTATAAATAATAATCTAATATACATTTATTGTGTAATAATTACAAAACAACGAATGTTAGTATTAAAACAGTAATTAATAATAAAACTATGAAATGTATTGAAGACTATATACTTAACCAAAACAGTGATCAAATGAGAGATTCAATTATGAAATGATAGTTACAATAGATTTGTGATCACTCTTGAGGTCCAGTGAAACGCAACTCAAGAGTAAATGGTATGACACGACGCGTATCGTCCGCTTCAAAGCCTCTGATAATAGGATACGCCGACTGATCGGTGGGACCCATAAAGCAGACGAGTCCTCTTTGGCCGTATATCTCATTCATGTCCAGATCGCTCACATCGAGTCCACCGATCACTTTGGGCACCAAATACACCGTACAATTGTCATCGATATCGCACTCTTTCAGAGTCTGCGAATCAAACAAATACTTCACTTTAAACAACTTCTGGTCCTTATATGCGATGCCTTCCAACTCGTCGATCAATCTCTTCATATCGCCCACAGTATTATCGGATCCGATCTTTAGGTCAAAGTCTTGTTTCATAAGAGAGCCGCCATTACGATAGGTGTAGTGGATATTAACCCGCATTTGTTGGCCTTTTATCTCAAATGGTTTCTCCGTTTTGACGGCGACACCGATTCTGGAGCACAAAATGAGTGTCTCCTCGACAGTGAGTCCGTATCGGTTGGCTCTCAAACGGATCACATCGTCGATGGTCTGCGAGCCGTCGTTACGCTTAAACACCAATTGCTTACCACTGATGTCAATGGCTTTGTGTGTCAACCGTTGGCCGCGTCTCAAGTGATATCTCTTGACAAATACGGGCGAGTATTGAAACGAGTACTCAATGTTTGCGGCGCTGAAGACGTTGTCCACCTCTACCTCGAAGTCGGTCTGCGGGACATCGAAACAGCAAATGTATGTGTTGTCAGTGTCTAACGGACTCGGCATCAGTTTGAGGCTCCGTTTGGATCCGTCGACAGTCGACACACGTCTTAACCGGAAACGAGGGCCCAATCCATAGCCAATCCATTCGCTGTCTTCGCTGACCACAGCCCTCATCGCTGATGATGTCTAACGGATCCAAAACATTAAGACATCAATTACTCTGTCATTGTCTTTCATTTTCATTGATAATATGCTTTCAAAACAATAATACAAACCATTTGTTGGTTTCGTTGACTCAATTGATGAATGGATGGATCAGTTTGGGTGATGTTTACCACCGATTGTCTGTCAATAAGTGTTTTATTGTATTTGTAGTGAATTTGAGACAAAACTATGAGTCAATCAAACAATGATTCAAAACTTTTATGCTTTTAACAAAAAAGGGCACTATTTTTGGCTCAAATAAACTGTAATTCATCGTAACGTTATTCGTGAACAACCCATTAACTGTTCATGTTTAAAACTGTAAGAAATTGTGTGATTGAAATCAGCATGGTTGGTTCGGCTATATTAATTAACTAGTTATTGAAATATACTTATGTTTAAGTGTTATAAAAACATTGACATAAAACTGCAAATTCATTACTTTATAACTTATAAATTATAAGATATATTCAACACATACACGTATATTACATATAAACTTGAAAATGAACCTTGGACATCGCTTCAAAAATGTGCATGATAGTGTAAATTGATCAGGATCATGTGCTTTTAAATTAATATACCGAGAATGATGTTTATTTTTAAAATTTGAGATTTATTGCAAAAATCATTGATAGATTTGGCACTAAATTAACTAAAACAACATAAAAATTACAATTGAATTACAGAATCGGTTAATACAAGTAAAACAATAAAATTTA